GTTTCTAACTTCGTCCGTATAATTGCTTCAAAAGCGATTAATTAACTTACTGAGTTCGCGTCAGCGGCCGAAACGGAAGGACAAGAAACAAAGCCGCAAATGACGCGCTGAATTTAATCCGATCCAGCCCGACAAACAACACTTAATTAAATTAACACTTGGCAAATTGCGATACAGAAGTTAACGTGCGTTTAATAGTTTCCCAATAGTTTTGCCGGATAGTTTTATATTGCAGCTACTTCGACGACAACTTCAATATCACGCTTCAAGATACGCTTGCAATTAGAAAACAAATCTCGCCGAGAAACGATTCAACAGCCTGCACGAACTGTAGATCCATTCTTGGAGGAATCTGCATTGGAAAAATTTTCTCACGCAGCTTTGAACCTCGAAATCTTTTGACATGTATGACTTTATGTAATGTAAATGCGTTCGAAGCCATACAGTGAGAGGCATGCGATGCATACAGATGGGTTGAATAGTATTAAAATGCACGGGGAAATGCAAAGCAGGCCTCACTGATTTGTTCGAACATCTCTTTCCTCTGTAAGTCTAAATACGTGCTTGAATATCCGAGTGTACTTTTACATGTAATCGTATAACTCCGATCAATCGAAGTCTTGTGTATCGAATGTTTTTCATGTTTCAAGACAAAAGATCAAAGTGCCAAGCGATGACAGGAAATCTGTGTATTATTTTAATGAACAGTGGCGAAAAAAAGTATTCCCTTTTTTTATTAGATTTGCATATTATTTTCATTGTATCAAATTTTTGTTAACAGCATATGGAACACTTGGACGGTACTAGTAAAAATATAATAAAAATATCTGTAACTATATATTTCCTGTCGATTATTATTTAGTTATTTGTATATCAGAGTAATTTGAAAACCTAAAAGATTCAACGAAAGGAAAGTCTAGCACAAAAATTTGCTGATTATTGCCTGATTTATTTTTAATTATATTTGTATTGACTGTATTTGCTACATTTACTTATTTTTTCTCAATATTTGTAATTTTTAATATTAACTATTGTTTAACGTTAAATTTTTAATATTAATTTATTGTATATCAGAATAATTCAACAAGTTAAAACATTTAACGTAATCTAATAAATCTAATAAAATAATTTGTTACCAAGTAGAAAAAGAAAACATACTACAGTGATACGAAATCTAACTTTAATTAATTAATTAACATGTAAATGTTACAATAAATACAGTGACACGTAAGTGTCTTTTCAGTTTCAGTGAATTTTTAATTTCAGTGAAAATCGTTTTCAAATACAATACCTTGAACAATCGGAGAATATTGGCTACCATAATAGAGACTACGCTGAAGGAAGCTCCTATAACGCCGGTGACAGGTTTATGGGGCACATATATCGGTGGTTTGTCATTTTCGCATTTGTATTCCGATATATCCTGCAAATATGAATAAAAGAAAAATCACGTCGCGCTTGTATCGTATGTATTCTACTTGTCAATAAGATTTGCTTTATACAGCGTATCTTAAGTGGAAACTATTCAACGAACAACTCGTGCTGAGATAGTTTATTGTATCCAGTATGGTATAATAGAATTAGTACAATTTTTTATTGTAAAATCTTATTGCTTAGTGCGAATGAGAATTTTCAATGCCGTTTGCTTGTTCAAAGCTGTGAGCTTTTACTTTTCAGTATTCTATTTAAGAAATTCGATAAAACATACCTCGTTTAACTGAAAATTACTGAAATAAAAATGCAATCTTCGTGTCGTAGTTGAACCAATTCTTAAAAATGCAAGTATATTTTTTCGCATGATGTAACGATAGTTTTTACTCTTATAGAAAAACGTGAGAAGAGTCTGCAGTACAATTGAAAAATAATTATAAAGAACGTGCAAATCGTGCAAGTATGAAAGAAAATTTCTTCACGTACAGTTTGCAAATGTTGGGAATACATCACACGCATACACGAGTTTAATGAAATCCTAATTTTCATAATGTTTTAATACTTAAACACCAATTATTAACCATCGTTGCAAATGGGGCAGAAAATATGACGCCCAGGTAATAATTTCGAAGGCAGAGATATCGAACGATAGAATATTCAACTGAACGATTCTGTTTATTGGTTTATTTATCGACGATTCCCATTCAACATGAAATTATTATCCTGCATTCGGAATAGTGATTGATCCTTTATTGGTCACTATCAATTTACGGATCAAGTTTATTTAATCCGAAAGATATTTACTCATCTGACAATACTACTTATATTATAGAGAGTAAATCATTATTAAAGTAATTAACTGAAAGCACGTTATAAATTCGACAAATGGCAATGACTTGTTCTATAAAAATTCTAAAAAAATATTAAACATAAAATCCAAGTGATTTATTATGGTTAATGATCCGACGATAAATCAGTTCGAATTAACAGCAAATGTTAAATTAATATACCCACTGAACAAACGGAATTATTATTTTCTTATTTTCATCATTTGGAATCATTATATTGTGATTGATATCTTGAAATGAAACTGTAGTAGATAACAAAAATTATTTAAAGTCGTACAATATCATTATAATTATTTCGTCATTAATATTGCTCGTTAGTTACGAGTCTGATCGATATTAGACCTGTACCACTTGCAGCGTATAACACTATTACATGTAATATGCAACACCATAATTATAATTTCCAAATACAGCATCGCAATAGAATCACAGTTTTTAACGTGAAGATAATATGGATAATACAGATAAGTGGATTCAAGTCGGTCGTTGAAAGGTTGTTGGTCACGGGTCTGGCAAATGCTAGACCTATACTACTTATACGTAGTACTGGCGTCCGTCATGCTTGAAACGGACGGGAGATGACAGAGTATCGATTCTAAATTTTCTACTTCATGTCAGATACCAAAGAAATAGTGGTCTCTCCAAAGGTTTTATCTGCATCGGATATAACTTTTATATTATCTATCTGCATCTACATGACTGTAACAAATCCTCTAAATCATTCTCGCTTGGCTAAGAGTATTAAATAACATCGCGTACGATGTTTCTTCTCTTAGAAAGTAAATTAAAGGCGTGATCTTCGTTCTAAAGTTTGTTGTGAGATTAAATAGTTTGTTGTCTTACAACAGCTGTTGTATTTGCTTGTATTAAAATGAAAAATAATTGGGATACGATGAGATGCGGTTCAATTTGATACCGAACGATATTTATCGAAAGTTTATAATCACTAAAGAGGGAAGAGAGTTCAATTTAAAGTTTATAATCTATATATATATATATATATATACACGTTCGTAATCGACATTAATAATCGCTTAGGCAATGTTGATTCTTCAGAGCAGACATTCAGTCATTTTGGTCAGTAATTAAAGGGATAAATTAATAGCCGACAATTTGTTTCCTTCGTTCCCTGTTTGTCATTAGCCGATATCTGATTAAAATCCATTAGATTGCAAGAAGCAATCTGTCACAGTAATTTTCAATGATGTCTATTGGTTAATTGATATCGTTTTCAAACGCGATGCATCACGTGGAATTTATTATAGCGAAGATTTCGAAAGTTGAACGGAGTGAAATTGATAAATCTGCTCTATTAATTCTTGGTGTTAGAGATGGGCAAAGATTAATCTACTGCCTTGAAGGCATACTCAAGCTTGATAAGATAGTCTCGGAAAATACGTGATTTTGCATAATTTTGAACGTGCAATTTACATAGATTTACATTATTTTAAATATTTCTTCCACCAACTCTAATTTTTATCTTTCTTTCCTTCTTCTTTTTTTCTTTTTTTCGTCTTTCAGTTTACGAAGAAATTACTCGCAGCCACTTCGAGTTTAATTCGAAGAACGCTGTAACATGAATTACCGTGAATATTAAAAATGTTCACGTTCTTTTAAAACAATTTTCTCAGAATTCGAAACGGTCTCCTACCAGCAAATTCCACAAAAGGAATGTTCAACGTTCTCCATCGAAGAAGAATTTCACTTATATGACTATGGCTTCGACGAGTAGTACGAAAAATTCCGAAGACAAATCTAACGATAAAGCTGTGCGTAAAATCATCTCTCAGAGGGAGTTGAAAACGCGCGTAATCGTTCACGAACGAGATTTATAACGAAGAAATACTTCAATGAAACTATTTCAGGTAAGAAATACAATCTAGATATTATCTAGAAAATCTATTTTTTTTTTTTT